TAATAAAGCCACCGTACTTTCATCGAAAAACGCAAGAGGTTGCGTCAGCATTTTTTAATCTTCACCGGTCAGAACAGAGCACTTTTGCCAATCAGATCCTTAAACCCCCATTTTAGGTGGTAGGTGTCTAGTTGCGTCCCTGTTGACTCTGAATTCCAACGTAGGCTTTTGCCAAACTGTTAAATCTGTTGTCTGTGGATTGGCTTTTCTCATTAATTATGAGTAACATGCTCTCCCCTGAAAAGTCAAGGAATCGTTAGACCAAATTTTCCTGCCGCGAATGAAAGGAGCGAGGGAGGGGGACCAGATAATTTAACTATTCACAAATCTCGTATTCCTAAATTCTGCGTGAGAGATGCCCTTCTCGATGGCATCCAGTTCAGCTTGCCATTTCTCGCCGTCTGGCTGGGGACTAAGGATTCAAATGGAACAGTTTCGTTCAGTGAGTACTTTTAGTGTAACTGCGTCGACCGACTTCGTCATAGTAGCTTAAAGGACCCGGTATAGGGAACCAGAAATTTGGCTGCTGGTGTAACATGCAACTTCCTGTCAGCCGGACGCACCACTGATCGGAGCCTGTAGCCAGGTAATGATGACCCAAACATCGGGATGGCCTGCCACTTAGAGCCTGTTCGACAAAATTGCCAGTTCTAGTATTCTCTTCTCTGTCCCATTTTACCATCACCTTGTCCGAACATTTCCTCTGTGACTGTTTCTCTTTATAACTGTGTCTCTTTATTGCCAACACTGGGTCATTATGACCTATCAAAATGGTCCTTCAACTGATTGCTGGCGTGTTCCTTTGTGCTTCGGATCAAGGAAAACACCAAACTGCAGCAGGCTCTCGTCCCAGAGAATGCGTCCTCCTGCCAACGAGGGTCGAAGGCGCAAGTGACGATTGGGAACTCCATGCAGATGGTGGGCAACCTAGAGGAGGTGGAAGCACCATCAGCAAAGATGGCGGAGGAGACCAACAGCCGCCAGTTTTGGCGCAGAGCTCTGCTGCCTAGCGGAATCCTCACGCTCGCCCTGTTGAGTGCCATCCTGA